GCCTGCCCAGCTGCAACAAAAGCTGGATTTTGTAAAGCCAACTCAAGCCCTGCCATCCATTAGGAGAACTACAAAGCAGAACATTTCCAAGTTAATTGGTTTTGCAATTAAAGGATGCGCGGGACATGTGACGCGATTAATTTTACATCGACCGGGGTGGGAATTAAACGGAAAAGCGCTGGGTTGTTTCTTTAAACGGAGCATATGTTTGTTCCCAACACCCCCAGCTCCTTTGCAGAGCAAAACTGGGAGGCACTCAAACACTCCCACCCCTCTGGAGCTGGATTAACTTGGCGCTGTTGTGTTTTTTTCCAAGGCTGGGCTGCTTTGGAGACGGTTTGATCGGAGGCGTTGAAGGGCCCGTTTGGAAAGGCAGCACAGCTCCATGTGGAGAAGGAGCTGTTCCCTGCCCCGAGCCCCAGGAAGGATAAATCAGAAGGGTTTAATTGTTAATCCAGCAGCGTGTGGCTTGCAGTTGATAAATCTGTGCAGTTGTTTTGTGCTCGGCGGCCAAGTGGCTTTTGCAGGAGTTCAGCTGCTGAAAACGCTCCAAGTCTGGCTTTTCCCTGCCCAAGCTGGTTCCTAGCAGGATATCAGTCAGTGGGATTGCTGGCTGAGGGATCCCTGCTTGGAACACAGCGAGGAATGTTCTGTGAGTCGGAAAACTGGATGGATCTGGAAAAGTCTGGTCTGTGCTAAATACCGTGTGCAGTTCTGGGTCCTCGCTGCAAAAACGCAGGGGTTGGGGCTGGGGGAGCTTTGCAAATCACACAGACCAGAACTCTGGAGAGGAGCAAGCCCAGAGTGTCCAATATATGTATGAATTTCACCATCTGGGCGCAGATCGTCAGAGAGAGAAGAGGGATAAATTAATTAAGGGCAAAAATCGGAGTAATAACACTCTTTCAGTCTTAATCTGAAGCCTCAGTGTTGTGTTTGCAAATCAGACACCCAGTCCTGGTGTTTGAAGTGAGCACGAGGCACAGACCAGAATTCTGCAAGTCAGATGGTCCAAGGCAGGTATGAATTGCACAATGTGAAAGCAGATCATCAGAAAGAGAAGAAGGGTAAATTAATTAAGGGCAAAAATCAGAGAAACACCTTTTCAGCCTTAATTTAAAGAGGTCCCAGTATTCTGTTTGCAAATCAGACACCCAGTCCTGGTGTTTGCAGTGAGCACGAGGCACAGACCAGAATTCTGGAAGTCAGATGGTCCAAGGCAGGTATGAATGGCACAATTTGAAAGCAGATCATCAGAAAGAGAGGAAGGGTCAATTAATTAAGGGTAAAATCACAGGAACACTCCTTTTTGTGAAGGTTTGCCCTCTACTCTGTACCTGACTCTCCCACCAGCCGAGAAAAGGGAAGGCTGGGATTGACTGGAGCTTCTCCCCCCAGTTTGTATTAAATTCTCACTTCCTGAGATCAGCTAAAACACAGGAACATTTCACAGGCTGCTGCTTGAGGTACCTTTATTCCAGACTGCCTTCCCTTTACAGGCTGCTTTCCCTCAGAACATGGATCCTCTCTAAGCAGGGCTTCTGCAGCCTTGAAAATGGAAATTTATTCTCTTCCCAGTGTCGTGTGCTCCTCTTATCTGTGTGTTCCAGTTATCAGAATAAATACTAAAAGACAAGTCCTTGGAGAGATCCTGAATGTACATGAGCTAAGTACTCCAACCAGGAGCTAATCCAGGGAAGGAATTTCAAAACATGGATTATTCTTTATTAATTGGAAGAGATAACAAAGTAAGCCCTGAGAGGGGTGGGCAGCTGCCCCTCCTAAGAGTCAGGGAGGATGAAGGAGGGGCTTGCTTCAGTGAAAATTCAAGTTACAGTCCTAAGAACAAGCCTTTCTTAAGGGCCAGGAGGAGGAAGGGACCCTGAGTATCACAGAGCCTGAAGGAAGAGGAGCAAAGGGATTTTACACAACATTTGTGTGGAATTTTGTTGTCCAAAGTCTGTGAAACCCTGGAACTCGCTTGAATTTCAGTACAAACTGTACTTGGAGAAATTTTGATCTTTAGGAACCTAAAGGTTCCTGT